CAGATCACTTAGTTTCTGTTATGTAAGTCACCTTCAATTTTTAGAATGTACTTCAAAGCTCTGAACCATTACAGCAAACAACTGAACCAACAGCTATATTTTTTTCAATAGATTTAGCCCTGTCTTGCTAATTCTCTATTTATTTCAGCAAAGAAGCAAGTGGTGATATTTAGCCAAAATTCATCCTTCCTCCAGGAAGCTCCAGAAGGCCAGCTAAAGGAGAGCTCTCATCAGCCTTTCCCAGCAGATTACCTTCCAGACTGGAAGTCCCAGTTAGCATGGCTAACTGTCAAGTATCTTGGGAGTTATCACCCAAAATTTTTGGAGAGCACCAGGTTCTAAATAACAATTCTGTTTTGACTCTGGAGATTCAGGACTCTGCATTGAAAATATAGTGGTTGCCATCAACTGTCTGAAGTAGAAATAAAGGACTATGATTCAAAGGAAAATGAAATAACCATGCAAGGGCCGGTGCACACAGCAATCTTTGTCTGTAAACTAGGCATGTAAATAGCTACTGGCCTGGCCACCATTGACAAGGAAGAATCACTCCCAGGTTGAAAAAATTAGTAAGATGGAAGAGACTCAGTTCTTTGGTTCCCTTAGGTCATTGATATGCCATCGATATGACGGACACTGCTAGAACCAAGTTTAAAATCTTTGTTGTTGCTGTTTAGCAAAGTCACGTCCGACCCATCACTACCCCATGGACAACACAAAGCAGGATTCCTCTACCAACTTTAGATTTAATACTATTTTCTTATCTGGGCACACTTAATATAGTATCCAAACCAAGAATTATGATTAACTTTACCTAAACATGCTAATATTGGAAGACAATTTTAACTATAATCCGGGGTTAAAGATGTGATGCAAAGCTATCTCTTCCTAACTCACTCACATGAAGGAAGGGATGAACTGTGTTTTATTAAGTGAGGATCCTTGGCTTAATGTGACATCCAAGTATGAAATCACAGTTACAGGAAAAGCAAGGTCAAGCCACTGTGGAAAAGTGTTCATTGGTCACTGGTTAAAAAGCAGCTGACATACTAGGATGCTGTGGTCTCAGCTCTTAACAAGACCTCCTTGTTTATTTTTTGCCTTCCCGTCTAGTAGTAGAAGAGATGGAAGGAGGATATAGAATTGTAGAATACTCCAGCAGTAGACATTGTTCCGAGGTAACAAAGAAGCCATATGCAAGACTAATCTTTTCTAAGTGGGTACTTGTTTAGGAGGCTTAATTCACACTTATAAAAAAATTGCCCTCAACTGCAAAGTTTAATTGTGCTCATCTCAGTATCATGCAGCTGAGATAATAACTGGGTTCAGACTTACTTTGCTCTTGGGGAAAAAAGAAAGAAAAGCAATTCTAAAACATCTGAACTAAACTGACTCTGTTGCCCTTGCAAAGCTCTATGGGGTTCTCTTCCTTCCCAAAATTGCATTGTGAGACTTCTATAAATATATTTCCATTGCTGAAAAACAATGTCCATTTCAGTCAACTAGAATATTAGAAATCTCTCTAGATGGGCGAAGCAAAGCAAGTTTAGGATGGCTCAGTGTCATGTTATCAGCAGCAGCTATATTGCTTTTTGTATGAGGCACTGTACAACACGTTTACTGTTGAGAATGCGGTTGCCTTGAAACGTATTCAGATCAATTGCCATGAAACTTATGATATTTTAGCTGCTTTCAATCTTCACTTTCAATCCTATTTCCAGTGCTATCAGGCTACTTTCTACAATACTAAACCTCCCTCCAGAACTCCTTATTAAGCCATGGCACACCTCACCCTCAAAAAAGGGCTTTCAACAGAAACACTGTTTAGAAATCATGCAAAATCTCTCTATGAACTGGGTTTCCAATTGTGGGTTAGAAGCCTCTACTGGACCAATGCCTGACCCAAACTGGGTTGAAACAGCAGCGCTATCACCACTCAAACAGATGGCAAAAACACATACAGACACCCTACATAGTCCCCAAATGCATGTTTGAACTAAAAATGGGGCCTGGGCTGAAAAGACTGAAGAGTCATGTCTTATGCTGCTCATTTAGCATAACTGTCTGCAGCATACCAGTCATACTGCTACAAGAGTCCAAGCGGCTTTTAACTGTAAGGATCTGAAACCAGCATCTTTAAGTTAATGGTGAATGCCAACACAGAGCAGTATGGTCAAACAGTGGGGTAAGTCATTCGTTCCAATCTCTCAGCTATGCCATTATCCAAAAAAAACCCCACTTTGATAAAATAGCAGTGGTCTACTTACTGTTAGATTATTAAGAATGATCAGCAGCACACTTTAGAATTTTGGAAAAACCATTGTAAGTATTCGATATTCTTTCTTAAGCGGCCCAACCTTCAGTGTTCCTTAATCACCGTGCAGATTTTTAAAGGTGAATTCAATTTTCTTTAAAGCAAATACATATTAAATAATATCAAAGGAGCACTTTTTCTTCCCCGGTTAGAGCTTTTCTGGAAATATTATCCAGAAATACATTATTTGAGATACAATTTACACAAGTTAATATGTCAATATGGTCATCCAGCCAACTGGACAACTATCTTTTTATCACAATGTTAAGATCTTCCTCCACATGCACAAATGTGCCAGCATATGTTAAGGTTTTTAACAAGCCCTTGAATTTCTTAATATTGTCAAAAATTATTTTTTTATGTATGTGTTTGTGTGGGTGTTGTAAGTAAGTCATTTCAATGTTATGTTACAATCTTGTATTTTTGCCCTTCATAAACCAAACAGACATTTTTGGCCATCAGAAATGTAATAAATGAAATGTACAGGAACATACTAAATGAAATGAAATCCTTTACTTTCAGGTTAGAGAATTAGCAAAGAGAAATGCTCATGTGTCTCAAAATGACCTCTAACATGAATGCCATTTCAGAGCCAACTTAACAAGTGATACTAACCTCTAGCAAAGAAAAAAAATCACACAAACATACACAACACATTACACAGAGTACTCAAGAGCAGTGTTTTCCCTAGCAAACTATCAGAATTGCTGTAGGAAGAGCCACAAATCTAATTTATCTTCAGGAACAAAGGGAAACCCTCCTGCCGCTGCAGCTGACGAAGATCACTATAATTGAACTTTTCATTGAACTCCTGATTAAGCACCACCACTCTAGAAATAGACTATTCAAGGTTAACCGGAATACTGGAAGCCACGCACTCCTTATTAGTGTCACATATCATTACAGGCAGCACACACTGTGTGATGCAAGAGAAGCTCTGAAAATGAAAAAGAAAAAACTCACTTTCCTTCCAGCCCTCAGGAGAAAGAGGCTTTGCAGCACAGCAAGGATTTATATACCAATCAAAGTATATTTGCTTAACTAATTGAGAGAAAACAAGCATTATGTTATATCATCTCTGCAGCGGATGAGCTTCCCTGACAGAATATTTATACAAAGCCTCATTTTGAATTAGCTACTGTTCCCAATAAGAAGGATCTCCCCTAGAAATTTACATAACCTTGAGATACTTCTGCCTTCCTTCAACAGTGTAAACATATTCCGTTCGGGTGGGGCATTTTTTAAATTCTGGTGCTTTTGAGGGAGGCCACTGTCCTTGTGTTCCAGTAGGATCTCCAAGATTGACCAGATGTGCCCTTTTCACATTAACATCTACATGCCAAGTCAGGATAACAAGGAAATACCAGGCAGCCTTTTTTTTTGGGGGGGGGGGCTGCCCAATTATGGGATTCCTTCCCTTGCAGCCAAAGTGCAGAGCAGTTGAGGCTGCAATCTTCAGTTTATTTATCGGAGAGTATTTCCCACTGAACTTATTATTGAAAAGTCACACAAAGGATTGTGCAGAAATTGTTCTGGAAGGGATGAAAATTGGCTCAAAATTATCAAGGCAAAGGGTATGTTTAAATAACTGTAGTTTAACCTTAATGGAGCCACTGTAAAAAGAAAGCAAGGGGCAATAGAACAGCAGCTCATCCCCTTCCCAAACCTCAAAGAAAAGATTATGCCTACGTGTTCTGAGGCTAGAGATGCCACTTGCTGCAAGTTGAAAACTGAGAATTGACAGCACCTTCCACAGGAAAGACAGGATTAATTAATAAATAATCAATCGATCGATCAATCATGCTCAAGGGTCTTCCTATTGGTCATCCATGGGATAGGCATACTGCTGTCCAACCTAGTTACAAAGGGATCTGTTCTCAGTTAAAGACCCATATTACATGCATTCACACAGTATCAAGCATTTGTCTGCAGGACAAGCCCAATGTGCCACTGGAAAATATTACATGGCAAAACACCCATCCCTGTGTATTTGACTCAATTTTCTTTAGGCTGGCTCAGCACGTTAAGGTCAGCTAGCCTACGGTTCCATTTTTAACAGCAGCCTCAAAATAATTTGAAGCGAATAAAAAACACTGGTCATAAATTAGTGACCACAAAAGTAGGATTATATAGCAATTCATTTTGCACAACTATCAATGCTAGAGTGCACATGGGACACGACTCTTGCGTCTTCCTTTTTCTCTCAGACAAGGAAGGATATTAGTATGTTGGAGTGGTAGTTCCATTTTTCAGAGTTCTCTCTTCCATGCAGCTAAGAAATGCACAGATGGCCTATTACATATGTAACCTGGCAACCCTAACAGATTATCATCTTTACCAATAAAAAAGAAATCATAAACCCTATGATTACATTTCTTAGGTTCTAGAACTTCAAACTACATGGGCCATTCATGTGTTCATAACACAAATTACTATTCCAAATGGCCACTGGATGTCTGTCTTGGAAAGGGTGGGTGGTGAAGACTCCCTGGCGATATAAAGGTCACCACTCAGATGCTTCTCTCTCGTCTCCAGTGGAGTTAAGGGTCAACTACTTTGTGCAATCAAGAAGCAAAATTCATTAAAAACTCCTTGCAAATGCTTCTTTCTTTCCGCAAGCAACATACTAACATATTCTTGGGGAAAAAAACAAGGAAAAGATGAGAAACTGTTCAAAGCACCTTACCTTTTCCAGAGTAGTCCGGCGCTTGCTGTTGTAGCTGCTGCTCCAGCAAAAGCCACCATCATTAGCCTACGATGGCTACGGAGAGAATGGGCTGTTCCATAGCGGCGTCTAGAAATGGCAGCTAAACCAGCCACAGCAGGGAGAAAACGAACACGAAACATCCTGAAAAGGAAAACAAAACCTACAATGAGCAGAGGATAGCTAGCATTTTAAATACAATCACCCAAGCAAACAAGGGCATCTGGCGGAAAACAAGCCAAGTGAAAAACTTTAGAACCTACAACCACTGTGACCACTGGCATTCCCCAGACAGTCAGTTTCCATTCTAGATCAGGGCCAAAACAACAAGCAACCACCTTGTTATAGGCACCCAAACATGAGAAAGCTTAATGCAAGGTATAGTTGCACCTGGACCAGACTTGGATAAAAAACTGAGGCAGATTCACAGAAATTATTAAAATCATTAAAATTATTAGAATAATGTATATTTTACTGAGAAATATTTAGGGGTGTTCCAAATAATCTCCCAACATATGAGCAGAATCACATATATGCATTCTCAACAGGTTGGGTTTTCTTCTACAGGAAACACTGGCATGTGATGGCGGCAAATCGTGGGTCACATATCATGTGCAAACCACTTCTAATTTGACTATGCCTTGGGATGTGCACATCCATGGATGATTGGTTATCAATAGCTTAACACTGGGTAGTTCAACCTAAGAACTAATCATAGCATCTGGGTCCACACATCATGAAGTAACCTATCGTTGGGCCAGTTGGAGGCTACATATTCAAACTGGAAGTTTGTTGTTGGACTACCTAACACAATATTTGATTAATCCATGATTTTCCACCATAACATGTAAACTGGGTTGAAGAGTCCTATGTTTTATGGTCTTGTTCTGGTTAGATACTGTAACAATCAATTAATGCAATTCCAATCTAAAACCCACATGTATGGTGGTATAGTGGCAACTTTAGAATGGGGGGAGGTCACTTCATGATAGTCAGAGCCTCACCTCAAAGCCACACCCCCAAGCCATACCTATTTCCAAGATTATGAAACCAGTGATTTTACAATAAACATGAGCTTTGTCACTTTGTTTGAATTTGTTGACTAATGAACGCAAGATGAGGGCATCTCTCTCGGAGGTCAAACAATTAAAGCTTCTAGAATTTATTTCTTATTATCCTCTGTATTATGAATGAATGAATGAATGAATGAATGAATGATTTTTTAAGTACGTTCATACCCCACTCTAGCCAAAAATCTCCCAGAGTGGCTTATGGGCAATTAACAAGGCAGTTCCTGTCCATAGGCTTACTATTTAAAAACGTGACATACAAGGGGAAAGGGGCAAGGTGGGAAGAGGGGAAAAAGGAAACTCAGGCAGTAATTAAACAGACTTATAGAAACATATGTAGTTATATCCTCCCAGGAGTAACTGTCTGGACTGACAATCAGTGTTTGATTTCTTTTAGTTTTCTGCAACCTCTGCAACCACTGGCTTTATGAGTGCATGTGTGCGGCAGATCCTCTGTAAGTCCAGAGTACATAGTTTAGGGGTTCCAGTTTCTCAAAATACCCAGTAATCTTGCACTGTGCTCCCATTGGCTCTACACTGAACCATGCACAAAGTAGCCTAAGAAGAACTTAAGGCTATCAGAAATCATGGGTATTTTTCCCAAGAGTTTAAGTCAGATGGTACCTGATTTGCCATTGTTAGCCAAGTAGTCTCTGAAAGCTGAGACTGCAGAACTAACCAGTAATTTGAAACATTTGCATAGTGCTAACACTTCTCCAAATCTTGGCTGGATTTCTGCTGGCAACTCCTCATGTTCCTGAAGCTCCTTTATGATGTTAGGGATGGACCCTTCAACTGTGGACTCGGTTGGATTCACTGTAAGTAGGTGCTGCTTCATCTTGTTCACTATGCTGGTTATGAACTGACCATAATTAAAGGACACCATTTTCCAATTATCTGTCAGTGTGGAACAACCAAATTTATTTTTTAAGACTTCTACTTCTAAAACAGCCTCCTCTTTCTTCTCCACCAAAGTCTCCAGGATTCAAATAGATCTTTGAATGTGTCTGTCTGCTTTCAGCACAATAGTGGTTCTTTGCTGCGGATATTCTGAAAGGATTGTCAGTTCATTCATTTCAAGCATCATGAAAAGGGACTAGATCAAGCCGAAGACAAGCAGTTACAGAGACCACTGAAAGAAGATCTCTCAATTTGTCATCAATTCCTGTCCTCGCTAGCAGCCTTGAAGTTTAAACACAGAGCAGTTTTTCCAACTGCTGAAGCAGTCCTAAAGGAACTTGCAACCCATCTGACATCCCAACCCTTTCCAAGTCTATTCATCTGCTCATCCAATTGCTCTAAACATTTTCTGAGCTTCCTTTTATTTTGTTGGGAACCACTGTATAATCAATAAAGCTTGTCCATGATTGCATGGAAATGATTCACACCATGGACTTCACACCATTCACAACTGTGCCACTAACAGTCAGCTCTAACCTGTGATTCAAACAATGCCACACAAAGATGGTGTGACATACTTCAAGAAGGTGTTGTAGAACTAATTTCCTTCCTATTGTCACACTAGCTCCATCACTAACAAAAGATACAAGACTGAAAATCAAACCGATGTGATTTTAGGCACTGGTTCCTGCGTTTTTCTTTTAAGTTGTATTAAGTCAAGAAAAACTAAATGTGGCTCTTTTTGTTTATCATATTCACATTTTAGATACACTATTAACATGCTTCTATCACTGAGACTTGTGGACTCAACAATAAGAACTGATATCTTACCATGGATATTTTGTATTGCTTTCCAATTGTCTGATCACATTATTAATGCAATGTGATCAATAATTTGAATGAATCTGTTATGAAGAGCTTTACCAAGCTCTACACCATTTATCTTTTGCAGCTGCAGCAGTTCAAAGTGATCAGAGTAGGATCTATTATTTTTTGCTAAGTAATGGGTTGTCATGAATACCTTGCAAGTCCTTTTTATTTGGGATGTATTGCAATGATCAATGTAAGCCTCCATGTAATGATCTGAAGTGTAATGTATGTGTTTCTTTAAATGTTGGTAAGTTTCAGAAGAGCAAGTGGAGTAAAAGAAGGGGGTCAATTAGTGAAGTGATTAGTTGGTGACTGCAAGTGTGTGGGTGAAGCTTGGAAGTACGCAAGGACAGAGAAACAGATACTTTCAGTCAGTTAGCAGTTAACAATCAGAATTGTGGTCTGTCCGCAGTCTAGAGAATCTGAAGAGGCAACCTTCTCATTAGAATCCCAGACAGCACTATGAAAAGCATTTAAGATTCTAAAGAAGGAAGCAGAACGCTTAGAGGACATAGCAGTGATCAGGGTGAGTCAAAAATAATATTGTTAAGTACTATAAGGGTGCATGAGATAGAAGCTGGCAGAAACCTGAGTGCAGAAGGGAAAGATTAAACTGAGATACATAAAGATTGTTCAAAGTACATTCATGAGAGAAAGAAGGATCTCTGTGTGAGGAATGATTGTGAAAGGAAAGAATATACTTCAGTCAGAAGTTATTATACATTGCTTTATTCACTAAGGAAAATAAATTACTGAACATCTTGAAACCAATAGGCGTAATGTACAAATAAAGTTTTATTTTTGTTTATTATTAACTTAGAGTCAATGTCTCATCCTTAGGACCACATAGTCCAATGAAGAAGCCTTATAGCTTGGGCAGAATATTGAGGGAGAAGATAATCAACGAGATTGGAATTAAATTCCTGGTGGCAGCGTTACATACACAGAGAAAAATGGGGAAATATCGAGAAAGACACACCATACCCACACAAATTATAGGACAGTACTCATGACACTCCATGTATTGCTTTTTGGCTTTATCTAATACACACATACCTCATTTTATTGTGCTTCACTCTACTGCACTTCACAGATAGGGTTTTTTTTTTTGTTTGTTTTTTAACAAATTGAAGGTTTGTGGCAATCCAGCATCAAGCAATTCCTTGGTACCGTTTTTCCAACAGTATTTGTTCACTTCGTGTCTCTGTGACACATGTTGGTAATTCTTGTAATAGTTCAAACTTTTTCATTCTCATTATATTTGTTATGGTGATCCGTGATCTTTGATGCTACTACTATAATTGTTTTGGGGCACCATGAACTGTGCCATATAAGGCAGAGAACTTAATTGATAAATGTTCCATGTCTTCTGACTGCTCCACAGACTGACTGTTCCCCATCTCTCTCCCTCTCCTTGGGCGTCCCTATTCTCTGAAACAGAACAATATTGAAATAAGGCCAATTAATAACCCTACAATGGCCTCTACACGTTCAAGTTAAAGGAAGAGTTGCATGTCTCTCACTTTAAATCAAAAGCTAGAAATGATTGAGCTTAGTGAGGAAGGCATGTTAAAAGCAGTGATAGGCTGAAAGCTAGGGCTTTTATGCCAAGCACTTACCCAGGTTGTGAATGCAAAGGAAAAACTTTTGAAGGAAATTAAAAGTGCTACTCCAGTAAGGAAGCAAAACAGCCTCATTGCTGATATGGATAAAGTTTTAGTGGTTTGGATGGAGGATAAAAGCAGCCACAATATTCCCTTAAGCCAAATCCTAGTCCAGAGCAAGTCCTAACTTTCTCCAAAGTTTGAACTAGCAGATGTTGGTTCATGTGGTTTAAGGAAAGAATCCATCTCTTTAACAAAAAAGTGCAAAGTGAAGCAGCAAGTGCTGATATAGATGCTGCAGCAAGTTATCCAGAAGGTCTAGCTAAGATAATTAATGAAGGTGGTTACACTAAGCAACAGATTTTCAATGCGGGCAAAAGAACCGTATATTAGATAAAGATGCCATGTAGGACTTTCATAGCTAGAGAAAAGTCAATTCCTGGCTTCAAAGTTTCAAAGGACAGGCTGACGCTCTTGTTAGGGGCTAATGCAGCTGGTCACTTTAAGTTGAAGCCAATGGCAGGTTATCCTACTACTGCTGTCAGATGTGATGAAACAGCATGTGAGCATCCCAACCATGTTCCTTTAAAAAACAACTTTCAGGCTTGGATCTACAGAACTTTCAGCCACGGTTTTAAATAATTTTCTCAGACTTTACTACTAGGAAACTCCTTCATGAATCACTGCCTTGTTGTGGCAA